CAAAACGATAGATTCACTAACACTAAAGAGTTTATTTATACTTTCATTAAGTATAACATAAGATTTTGTGATATCCACTAGTGTAAATATTTTAAATTGAAGATCGAATTCATTCATTGTATTCATATAAGGTCAAGGAGTGTAGCTGTAAAAAATCATCAAAATCGGAGTTAAAATAATCGTTAAATCATGACTTTTCGTTTATAACTGTCAAAAAGTTTTGTCTCATTACTTCATCTCTGAATGTTTATTTTTTGCAATTTTTGGTGTACACGATCTCGAAGCATATATAAACAAGTTTGACAGTTGGATCGTTGAAATTAGTTTCGTAGGATGCGTATCCCATCAAAATGATAGATTCATTAACACTTGAAAGTTTATTTATACTTTTATCAAGTATAACATAAGATTTTATGGTATCCACCAATGTAAATAGTTTAAATTGAAGATCGAATTCATTCATTGTATTCATATAGGGTCAAGGAGTATAGCTATAAAAAAAATCATCAAAAACAGAGTTAAAACAACCGTTAAATCGTGATTTTTCGTTTATAACCGTCGAAAAGTTTTGTCTCGTTACTTGATCTCTGAATGTTTTTTTTTTTAATTTTTGGCGTATGTGATCTCGAAGCATATATAAACAAGTTTGACGGTTGGATCGTTGAAATTAGTTTCGTAGGATGCGTATCCCATCAAAACGATAGATTCACTAACACTTAAGAGTTTATTTATACTTTCATCAAGTATAACATAAGATTTTGTGGTATCCACTAGTGTAAATATTTTAAATTGAAGATCGAATTCATTTATTGTATTCATATAGGGTCAAGGAGTGTAGCTGTAAAAAATCATCAAAATCAGAGTTAAAATAACCGTTAAATCGTGATTTTTTATTTATAACCGTCGAAAATTTTTGTCTCATTACTTGATCTCTGAATGTTTGTTTTTTTCAATTTTTGGCATATGCGATCTCGAAGCATATATAAACAAGTTTGACGGTTGGATCATTGACATTAGTTTCGTAGGATGTGTATCCCATCAAAACGATAGATTCACTAACATTTAAAGAGTTTATTTATATTTTCATCAAGTATAACATAAGATTTTGTGGTATCCACTAGTGTAAATATTTTAAATTGAAGATCGAATTCATTCATTGTATTCATATAGGGTCAAGGAGTGTAGCTGTGAAAAATCATCAAAATCAGAGTTAAAATAACTGTTAAATCGTGATTTTTCGTTTATAACCGTTGAAAAGTTTTGTCTCGTTACTTAATCTCTAAATGTTTTTTTTTTTTTTTTTTGCAATTTTTGGTGTAAGATCTCGAAGCATATATAAACAAGTTTGACGGTTGGATCGTTGAAATTAGTTTCGTAGGATGCGTCTCCCATCAAAACAATAGATTTACTAACACTTGAGAGTTTATTTATACTTTCATTAAGTATAACATAAGATTTTGTGGTATCCACTACTGTAAATATTTTAAATTGAAGATCGAATTCATTCATTGTATGCATATAGGGTCAAGGAGTGTAGCTGTAAAAAATCATCAAAATCGGAGTTAAAATAACCGTTAAATCGTGATTTTTCGTTTATAACCGTAAAAAAGTTTTGTCTCATTACTTGATCTTTGAATGTTTATTTTTTGCAATTTTTGGTGTATGCGATCTTGAAGCATATATAAACAAGTTTGACGTTTGGATCGTTGAAATTAGTTTCATAGGATGCGTATCCCATCAAAATGATAGATTCACTAATACTTGAGAGTTTATTTATACTTTTATCAAGTATAACATAAGGTTTTGTGGTATCCACCAATGTAAATATTTTAAATTAAAGATCGAATTCATTCATTGTATTCATATAGGGTCAAGGATTATTGCAGTAAAAAATCATCAAAATCAGAGTTAAAACAACCTTTAAATCGTGATTTTTCGTTTTCTTGATCTCTGAATGTTTTTTTTTTTTTTTTTTTTTTTTTTGCAAATTTTGGCGTATGCGACCTCGAAGCATATATAAACAAGTTTGACGGTTGGATCATTGAAATTTGTTTCATAGGATGCGTATCCCATCAAAACGATACATTAACTAACACTTAGAGTTTCTTTGGGTTAAATATTAGGCGGGAAATGGATAGATATAGGCTGCAAAATTTCCCAAACATTAGGCGGGAAATGGATGAAACTCTTGAAATATTAGGCGGGAAATTAATTATTATAATTTTTTTATGTGTTTGGTATTTTTATATTACTTGATATTTTTATTTTTAATGTGTTTTATGATTTTTATTCTCAATCTTTGCCTATAATATACTATCAAAATAAATAAACAAATAAAACTTAAATTTTAAAATTTATATAGAATAATAATAGAATAATGATTAATAAACAATATTCATATTCATTATATCTATTGCATTTTATAGTAAGTTTTTTTTAGTAGTTTAAAAAATTAGAATCATCAAAATAGCATTTTTCTTATCGTGTCGAAACGGATTACCCGCGTGTCACTCTCGTGTAAACCTGTTAAGGACCCGTTATTAACGAGTTATTATCGTGTGACCCGATAATGATCCGATTAGTTATCGTGTTGACCCGAAACCCATTATTTTCGTGTCGTGTTAACGAGTCATGTAAGAAATTGCCAGCTCTATTTGTAGCCTTGCTATATATGCATCATAGCAAGTAAATCAATCATTCTATATTGGGTTGTATGCTTCATAAAGGAACTTGGGCAAACAAACCTTTTTAACGCCATCAACAAACTTGGCACAAGCGTCCATGTCTTCAAGCGGATCTAGTTTCAAGAGCACACAAATCTCGGCAGTCTCCCTAGAAGCAGGCTTAGTGGATTTCTCATAACTGCCCACGCGAGCAGTCTCCTCCTTCCCAACAGGCGAATCAGTCTCAGTAGCAGAGGGAGTGGACCTTAGTGCCACTTTAGCAGTAGAGTCCATCTTATCGTTCTTCATAATAGCAAGCCTTTCCGAATGAGAACCACACTTAGCTCCCAACGAATGTCTTGGCACAGACTTCAGCACTAGGGGCATGACAAGACCTCTACATTGAGCAATACGATCAATAATCAAATTAACCATTCTCGACATAGCAGGCACCACAGGCTCAGATCTAGTAGCCTCATTTTTCTTCCCATTGGAAGAAGTCATGTCAATCACAAGCCTCTCGATAGCAGGTGGACTCTCACGAGCAGCGGAGGAAGTCTTTCGTTTTTTCTTAACCAGCATCTTTTAAGTAGACGAGGAAGATCTCTTATTTCCACCTTCATTCACAGTAGGCTCCATGATGGCAATCAGACGAGCCAAAAGCTCTCGATGAAGAGAACTAAGCAGTCAACGCTATTCAAGGTACTCAGCAAGGGAACTCAACCCATACTGGCTTTTTCCTCATTTTTTCTCTCAGACCATCAAGCAGGAGGCCTGCATGCCCAGCATTCCAGCAGCTCATGAGGCCCTCGACCTCCTCATCTCTCTCAATCGTCGACCTGGCCCCCGTCAGGTCCAAAAAGCCAGAAGACATGAGCTATGCGACTCCTAGCATTGTGCCCTAGCATTGCGCCCTAGCGCCTCAATCCACGGCCTCAGCCGCATAAGCTATATTTGGCTCTAGCCAAGCCAAGCAGCCTGAGCAGTGGTCCCTACCATAACACCTCGTCAGCCTATGCCGAGCCGACTTTTGCCCCCTACCAGTCGACTTGCCGCACCACGTCGACGACTACCCCACGACCGCACTATCCAAGTAGAAGACAAGAAAAATTAAATTTTTCTTACCTCGGTGCGGCGCGGAGAAGACGAAGAAAGCAACGAAAGACGGTCCCTTACACAGGCAAATGTAGAAGATTGCTAGGGAAGGGGGAACAAATATCCTCTAGCTCTCTCTCTTTTGTAGCGTAAAATAAATTGATCTCCAAAGTTGATTTAATAACCCACTTAAGGTCAACTTAAATAGGCTTTGAGAGAAATTTATTCCCCTTTCCTAGAAGGATCTAATTTCTTATTGAAGAGGGAATCTACATCAAAATAGGAAGCAGTCCTAAGTTTCCTAAAGCAAGAAAATCCCTACAGCTGTTGCCCTTTTTCTATGAGCAACCCAACAGGTGTGGGGGCATTTGTAGAGCCAAAAATAATCACAAAGGGGATTTTTGGATAAAAGAGGACAAAAATACCCTTGAGGCATACCGGGATTCCTATGCACGAGCAGTGGGCAATTATCCCTCAACTAAGTCAAAAGTGCCCAAGCTAGGTAACGATTCAAAACCTATCTCATTCCATATATTTTTTTTTACCTCATTTTCCCTTTTTTAGCTAATTATCTTAATCATTCCATAACTCCCCAAATAATTTCTTTTAAAATATGTTAATTAGTCAATTAATAGATTTATTACCTAATTAATCTATTAATGGCTAAATAACCACAATTTACACCCAAAAAATACCTAAATGGCCGGTCCCTATTCTCCTAATAGGGCCGGCCATATCCCTATATATAGCTCACCATTCTCTCCCAAAAAGAACTTCCAATTCTCTTGCTAAAATTCTCTAAAATTCTCAAACACTTTCTCTCCAAATTCTAACTTTGGCATTGGAGGTTCTTCAGCCAAATTCTGCCCCCCCCCCCATTCATCGTGGGCGTGTGAGGCTCTTGGCCTTGACCAAAGGTGTTAGTTGTTTTGTAGGTGCAATTTTGTCCAAGATCAAGGAGAAAGAAATTTGCATCCACAATTATAACATGCATATACTAGTGCAACTGCTAACAGGAAGATCTGAGTTCCATACCTAGAGATACATTTAACTAATGTACATTATCAAATGTCCGAAATAAAAGTACATCAGCGTACTTTTTTCATGTCTTGCTTAGCTTGGGTCTGCGATTAAATGAGGCAAATTAAGGAGCAGATTAGGTTGTTCACTGACTTTTGTGTGTACATATTATTCGTGCTAATTACTAGTCATGTCAGTATAAATTTATGTCGTGCAAGAACATTGACAAAACGAGGCAAATTTATTTATACCAGAGATCCAATTACAACAAGCCCTAGCCGGAAGAAGATGATATACTTTCGTACGTAGAAGGAAAATCACCATATCTTGAAAAGCAAGCTTACCACACTATACTTTTTTTAGATTCTTCATTGACAACTAAACGCATGAAAAAGGTGATGATCAGAATCTACTTATATCGACCAAAAAGATAAGAAGCATCATTGAGATTGATGTGGGTATAACTTCTTATTAAGCCAAAGAAGAGATGCTTATTAATCTCACTATTTCTTGTTCTTCTTTTGATGATCACAATCTAGCAGCTCCTCTAGCAACTTATCATCCAAGTACTCTAACTCAAGAACTTCATCTTGCCCACCACAAGCTCGCCCCTGCATAGGCATTGATGACGAAGAAGATGAAAAATTAGCCGATGCCGATGAAGATGAAGAGCCACCACATGCCGAAGGGTACTCATTAGGAAAGTTCAAAATGGCTAAGCCACCCCTCATAGCATAAGCCGCTCTATCATAAGCTCTAGCTGCCTCTTCAGCCGTGTTAAAAGTCCCAAGCCAAACACGTGCGCCGTGCCTATTTGAGTCGCGAATCTCTGCTGCGTACTTGCCCCATGGCCGCTTCCGCACACCCCGGTATCGAACTTCTCCGGCATCCTTCTCTTCCATGTCCTTCGCTTTGGAGTCCATATGTATGCAGTTTGCATGGCCAAACTAAGGATTGTGGAATTAGCATTTATATGAAGTTAAAAAGCACAATTAGGCTGCGGTGTTTGAAACTCAGGGGACCCCATTTTATCCACGTGTCAAAGAATATGGCTGAGAAATTGTTCCCACGTGCTTGAGAGAAGCTTCCATAATGACCATACATTTTATACAGTATAGCGCATGAATCCAATGTATCCGGATGGTCAACGTGATGGCTTTCAGGTCAAGACGAAGCCCTTTTCAGTATTCTCTTACTTTTTGGCCTTGTTTGTGGATGTTTGATTCGAATAGCTTAATAATGTGATTTGGACAATAAAAGGGCAAAGGGCAAAGGCAAAGACAAAGAGCAAATCTAGCTCTGTAAATTTAACCCCACAAGGAACAAAAATATAGTTTTCTAAACAGCCTATATGGTGCCTCACTGTCACACGTATGAAACTTTTAGCACGTGTGTGAGTGTGAGTCGTTTCAGGATGAGCTATGCGGCTTAGGTAGCACTTGGGTATCATTGTGTCATGTTCCACCACCACTGAAAGGCACTAAAGAGACGTTCTGGAAAGAATATGTACGGTCACACAATAGATACGAAGACTTTCTCTTCTGTTATTCTTTAGTTTTGTAAGTAGAAGCCGCAGGTTTAAAACAACGCCTTCTCTTAGCGTTACGACTAGATATCAATTTTGTTTGGGTGGAAGGAGATCACAGCTCCTTGTCAACGGTAAGGCAACTTCTTTGGAGAGTTTAAGTATACCATTGAAGATGTCATTTACCTTGGGAGCAAATTTTCACAAATATCACTCACACGTATCTTTCGGAAAAGCCAACATGATAGCAAATGATGACAACAAATGGATGGACAGAATTGAAACATGAATATAATCAAAATTGTATGATGATTTAACAATTTCCTTGTTCAATTGAAAGATACATGCCCTATGACCATATGCGTCCGTAAAGATCCCTAGAAGAACATCGTTGTAATTTCAGCTTGTCAAATAAATGTTTGCTGTAGTAGTTCTCCTTGCATAATTTTAAGAAAATGGCGTTGGCTATTTTTAGTGTGAAAATTAGTACCATATGGCATTCAACTCAAAATCAAGGTTTTTTAGCTAAAATGGTCCCTAAGATTGTCACAACTCCTCACTTTGATCCTTGAGATTTAAAATCGATAAAACGTGGCCCCTGCGATTGTCCACGATCAATCATTTTGGCATTCTATGAAAAATCTTCATTAAATCGAAGAAACCAGTAGTTCAAGTGGAGGTGTTGATTTGACAAAAGTGCTTAATTTAATGAAATTTTTCACTACTATCAAAATGATTGATGTTGGACAATCTTAATGACCTACTTGTATCAATTTAAATCTCAAAGCTCAAAATAAAGAATTATGTCAATCTTGTAGACCATTTTGGTTAAAAAAACCCAAAATCAATTAAAAACAATCGTTGACAGTGTAAGCATTCTAATGTTTGGCATAGATTTTTAAAGTAAAAGAAGTTCATTTATAGTACTTGAAAATCACCTTAGACTAAAAGTTCATTCACGTCAGCATACATTTAATCACCTCATATGTAATTATATTTTGATGTTTTGTTTCTCTTTTTTTGCCTAATTGTGAATTACATTTAATTCTAATTTTCATTTTATTCATCATAATACATATTTTGTTGTAGACATTTAGGTAAACTAATATTTTTATATAATATATTCCTATACACTTTGTGTTTTTTATTTAGTTACATTGATTCATCTAATATATTTTGGTATATCCATTTCGATACAGAAATTTAGGTACACTAATTCAATATGTTACATTTCGGTTCATACATTACATTAATTTAGTATAGTTATTTCAGCATAGATATTTAGGTACATTCATTTATTTAATATATTTTGGTATATCAATTTCGGTACAGATATTTAGGTACACTATTTCAATGAAATACACTTCAGTACAGACATTTAGGTACATATTTTCATATGCTTAGCTACACTTATGTATGTACATATTTTTATTATGTGTCACTATATGTTTTCTCATTTAGGTACATTTATAAGGTTATAATTGGAAGAAGCTAAAAAAATTAAGGAATTAAAATGTGTGTATTAATAAATTCAAATATAGAATAAAATACAGATTAAATATAAATAAATAAATAAAAAAGAATATGGAATTTGTTTAAGTAAGTACACATTAAAGGACTAGAACTAATATGTAATTCAATGGGAAGTTTTAATTAAATTTTAATTTTTTTTTAAAGATTAAAGTTCAAAAGCCCTTTTTACAATTGCTTTTAGATAGCCACTTATGATATAGTGGTATTCCTTTTCACATGTAAATAACAGATCTTAGGTTCGATTTTAGCTAAAGGCAAGGTTGAACTATATTATTATAGCAAGTCCATTGTAAAGCTTAGCCCCACTCTTCACCTCCTTAGTGTAGATACTATCGTTTGTTAAAAGGATGGAAAAAAAAAATTACTTTTGAATTCTAATTAAGAGTTTTTCCAGTTTAAAAGCATATGGAGTTTTAATTTAAAAAAAAAAATTAATGTGCTTTTCACGATCGAAAGTGTTGTTGAATGCACTTTTTTTTTTGTCTTTTTTTTAAAGATCCCTACTATCTCCCATTTTTTATGCTACCCTACATTCTTGACATTCTTGTTATTATCTTCTGTTGTAAAAGTTATATATTGTTTCATATGGTCACAATGTGCATTCTTCGCCATTGAATGCAGCCCTAATTTTTTTTCTTCAAAATGTAATTCTTTGTCAATATTAGTGTTCTTCGCGATCACTTTGTTGACGGAATTGACAAATGAAGTTGAGATTACATTCTAAAATCAATTAGTAATATAAAAAGTGTAGATACTATCGTTTGTTAAAAAGATGGAAAAAAATTGCTTTTGAATTCTAATTAAGAGTTTTTCCAGTTTAAAAGCATATGGAGTTTTAATTAAAAACTAATAATGTATAAAAAGTGTAGATACTATCCTAAACCACCTCTTTAGTGTAGATACTATCGTTTGTTAAAAGATGGAAAAAAAAATTGCTTTTGAATTCTAATTAAGAGTTTTTCCAGTTTAAAAAGCATATGGAGTTTTAATCAAAAAAAAAAAAAAATTAATGTGCTTCTCACGATCGAAAGTATTGTTGAATGCACTTTTTTATTTTTATATATATATATTTTTTGAAGATCCCTACTATCTCCTATTTTTTTATGCTACCCTACATTCTTGACACTCTTGTTATTATCTTCTGTTGTAAAAGTTATATATTGTTTCATATGGTCACAAATGTGCATTTTTCGACATTGAATGCCGCCCTAATTTTTTTCTTTTTCTCCAAAATGGAATTCTTTGTCAATAATAGTGTTCTTTGCGATCACTTTGTTGACGGAATTGACAAATGAAGTTGAGATTTCATCTTAAAATCAATTAACTATATAAAAAGTGTAGATACTATCGTTTGTTAAAAAGATGGGAAAAAATGCTTTTGAATTCTAATTAAGAGTTTTTCCAGTTTAAAAGCATACGGAGTTTTAATTAAAAAAAATTAATGTATAAAAAGTGTAGATACTATCCTAAAATACCTCCTTAGCCTAGATACTATTGTTTTTTTAAAAGATGGAAAAAAATTGCTTTTGTTGTAGGCATAATTTACTAAACAATTATGGAGGCTAGAAAGAGAGCGAGGGTGCGGCATAGAGAGAGAAGGAGAGAGAGATGTGTAATTGTGGTATGTGTTATTCCACCCCATTGTGCCTTTATTTATAGTAGTAGGGAAGGTTAATTCCTTACCCTTTAATATTACAACATTTAATAGGTAATCTACTCCTAATAGGAATATAAGATACATTCTCATATCTACTAGGATTTACACAATCACATTCCTATTCTAATAAGACTGCAACACTCCCCCTTGAGTGTGTAAATACTCAAGTCAATAGCGCATCAGGTCTTCATGATGAAGCAAGTACAGTTGATGAAGTTGTCGGCACAATGAGCGAATGTGAGTCTCAAATCAACGGAAGAATGCATAAAAAGTAAAACTCACAAAACCTTTGCTATGGTAAAACCCAACGTGGGAGAAAAACCCATGAACTAAGGAGAAAAGTGAGAAGTTGCATTAAGTCAAAACTAGACGTTTTTTGGATGCAAGTAGAAGAGTTCACAAAGGTATGATCAGCCCAGGATGGATGCCTTCTTAAAACCTAGTTAGGTAGCAAAAACCCAGTGGGAAAAATGCTCTTAATCGTAGGGAAAAACAGTACATTAAGATCAAGTGAGTATACTTCTGGATACTCCCCCTGAGTTTGACATAACTTCCAAATGAGAACTATAAGCATTGCATATGAGTAGTTAGGCATACCAATTCCTTGGACAAGCTTCTGGAAGGTTGACTTCGGTAGTGATGTCGTGTAGAGGTCAGCAAGGTTGTTTGGGATCGGCTTGCATGACTTCAATCTCCTGATGCTTTGTTGATGTAGATGTAGACACAATATGTCTTGGCGTTAACTTTGTTGATGTATCATGGCTTGGTCGGGTCGATACATGTGGCATAATCATCATAGATCATTGTTGGGACTCAATGATGGATGAAAACACAGCAAGTACTTCGAATATACTCAACAAGAACTCCTAACCATGTCTCACTTGTGGCGTAGTGAAGTGAGGTGAGTATTGGAACGATTCGAAGATTTCGCAACTAAGGTCATATCGTGGACCTTTAAGATATTGCTCTATCCCTAACGGTAAAGACATAACCATTCGAGGATTTTGTCTTGTGCAGGTTCAATAAGCAACCAGCGTCAGCATAACAAACAAGGCAAACATCATTCCGAGGATCAGGGGGGGTTAGATTCTCTCGAGATGCGTTGGGATTTGCCCTCATAGTACCTTCAGGTTACGTCTTTAATACCAAATCAGTGGTTGCGTGTAGGCGCAGTGCTGCATCTTTACCAAGATCAACAGTGAAGGAGATGTCCTGTC